AGGAGCAGGCGTGAGGGAGGCAGCGGATCCATGATTCTCTCTCATTGATGTTTCTATCTTCCTTTCTGTCCCCCTTCCTCTCTGAAATCAATAAAAATATATTGTTCAAAAAGTAAAATAAATCCCATGGACTCCACCATGTGGGAAGGGCCCTACAGAAGGAGGACCATGTGCTCCCAGCGAGGAGACTGAGGAGTTCTGTCTGGCAGGAACCATTGGAGGGGATCCTCCAAGGATGAGAAGGAATTTAGATGCAGAGAGGGCGAGGGACTGGCCATCCGTACAGACGGCCTAGCATGTGCCACGGCTGGGCGAGAGGGAGAGGGAGACACGAAGTACTCAGCACACATAATGAGCCTCTTCCACATCTCACAGAGCCGAGCAGCGCTGGGAAAGTCCCTGGGGCTCGAGCTGTGCCTCCTCCCACCTCCCATGTTATCCTGCCTTGGCACCCAGCCAGGCTGCTGCCCACTGACAGGCCCAAAGATGCCTGAAGAGCTGAGGGAGCTGGGCCATGGTGGACTGTGTGTGTGTGTGTGTGTGTGTGTCTGTGTGTGTGACCCACAGCCCCCTCTAGGAGCAACCCCCTTTCTGCTCACAACCCCACCTGCCCCGGGCCCCACCGTGCCATCTCCCTTGTGCTGCTGGTCAGGAGGGTTTGCATGTTAGCATAGGAGGACTGAGGTGGGGAAGGGGGTGTGGGGGGAGTGTGATCAGTGACTTCGGGGACATGCACCAGGAAGCCACCGTTCTTGGCCAGGTGGTTATCAGCAGCCAGGTAATTGGCCTTGGGGCTTATCAGAAGCCTGTGAGGGTGGAGAGCACACAGTCCTTAGGAAGACACAGGACAGTTACCGCAGGAAGGCAGTGGGACGCCAAGGTCAGCTGGTAAATTGAGGAAGAGACATGGTGATGACATCACAAGATACAGCTTTATGGTCCCACCCCACCCCCTCCTGGATGGATTTAGTCCCTTGAACATGTGAAGTTACAAGCACGACATCTGGACAAGAGTATGTGACATCTGAGTGGGCTACTCCACCTGAGTGTAACGCGTGTGTGTGTGTATGTGTGTGGAGAGAGAGAGAGAGAGAGAGAGAGAGAGAGAGAGAGAGAGGGAGAGAGGCACCCCCGAGAACGCTAGCGCAGGGAGTCAGCTCGTGTCTACACTGCTGTAGGCACCAGATGCTAATTTGATCAATCTTCCGTCCTGTCTTAGTGGGGTGGGTGGCTCGGCCCCTCCCTGGACATTTTGAATTGTGGGTGTTGATGAAAATCACCTGAGGTAGCCAATGCATTTGATTCCCTTTATCTTCTCACCTCACTCCCAGGATCATGCTGACTCTGAGTTCTCCAGTCTCTCCGGGACTGCCAACGCCTGTGTGCCAGC